TTGACTGTTTCTGCAATAGTGAGTACATGAACTTCATAGATTATTAGAATTTATTTAGTTTTATTATTAATTTAGATTACGTACACTTGCAATCTTGAACTTGGAAGTCTGGCTCACACATTGTGGAACTATCGACGATTATTAGCGGAATTATTTAGTTATTGCGGTGCCTATTAGCAGAAGATATTTAATTATTATTTATCGTTGAAGAAAGCTCGAATAGGGCCAAAGCGTACGATTTAGAAAGATGTTGAAGAATATGTAATGAATAAATTGATATAAGAATTTTTTACGCACCAAGTCCGGCGTATTGATTCCTTTTTTATTGATTTGTATTATTTTAAAATTAAGAGTCAAATACAATATTTTAGATTGTAATTTTATTTAATTAACGCTGGCTAAGAGTATGCGTCAATCACATTTTAATTTTATTGTAAGAACCTTTGGAATTATTCCGCTTAGGCATATGAAACTTTGAATTAGGTACCGTAAAAATGATAAAAAGAAACCGTATTAGATTTTTAAAATTCTGTATTCAACATAAGATTATTCCACAACATTTACAAACTTTAAATATATTCAATTGCAATTTATACCATTATCACTCAATAAACAAACTTAATCAAGTCAAAGATATACTTTTGTGCAGAATAATTCGGATTGAATTAAATGATTCGTATAGTTTGATGCGTTATTCTATTACATAAACATATTGTATTGCCAGATAAATTTCACGTTGGATTCCTGACTACATTTGTAATAAGGTTTTCGAGAATCAGGAGAATTCCCTTCACATGTTTAAGAATTTGGAAAATAAAAGAATGGATAAAAAATGCAATGATTGATTAAGAAACATGATGTTGCTAATCTTAATAATATTAATCGGAACAAATGTTATTATAAAGGAATAAATTTGAGAAACAATAATGAATCTCAAACAGTGGAACATAAATTTACCATTAATCCTTTGGCCCTAATTAAACAACACTACAAGGAAATTCACATTAAGCCTTCTCTCTTTGTGGATAACAACACAAAGGAAGAAGTAACACCTCTCCTTCTTTGTTGAGAGAGAAGTGATATTAACCTATCAGGATAATCAATTTCTAAAGAGATACAATGTTTACTCCAATTGGGAGGAATTTTGCACTTTCAACTAGTGATACCAAAAGAAACATTGAATTGATTAAAAATATTGAAAATAATATAAAAAAACTTCTCAATTGAAGCTCAATTGAACATTAGAAACCAATCCATTCCGATCGTACGCAAATTGGCTTTTTTATCTCTAAAAAAAATCTTAATATGTTGAGTTCTCTCTTGAAGATCACAAAGAAATTTATTAAAACCAATCCTAATAAAATAATTTTTACAAGAGCAGATACGATTGTTGCATTAAATAAAGACTATGAAGACAATATTTTAATTATGCTATAAGATAAAGACACTTATGAAATTATGAGGAAGAATCCTACATCTAGAATAACGACAGAACTACATAAAATGCTTACAAAATGGGTCAAACAGTATTTTATTACGTTGACATTGTATAAAAGAATATATTGCACCGATAGGTTATTGCCGAGTCTATGTACTTCCAAAAATATACAAACCAGGACATTTATACAGATTGATAATATCATCAATAGATAATCCACTTTACTTCTTTGCGACCTTTTACATAATATATTGAAAGATACTATTCCCGAAACTTCTAGTAGTAAAATGGAAAATAACTTTTAATTAATAAATAAGATAAAGAGAAAAATTTTAAACAATGACTATACCTAACATTTTTAGATGTGTGTCATTGTTCACTAACACCCCTTTTGACTTAGCAATTAAAAGTATTTCAAAAAGGTGGAATTTTATCTTTCAAAAATGTGTCATCCCAAAAACAGAATTTTTCAAAGATTTACAATTAATTTTAAATTCAACGTACATTTTTTAAATTTGATAACACAATATACAAACAAAAATTTGGAACTTACATGGGCTTTCTGTTTTCACCCATCATTGCGGATTTGGTTATGCAAGACTTACAATTAGAGGAAAAATTATTGTCAACATATGGGATTGGAGTACCCTTCTATTTCAGATACGTTGACGACATTGACTATTCGTATAGAACATATTGAGATTATACACAATATTTTTAATTCATTATGAGGGCAAATCAATAAGTTCTTAAAAAATCTGTCAGAGAATACTCTTAGTGTCATGTTACATTACTTTTTGACAAGCAGCAGATTACTCTAAAATTTTGAGCGGAATTCATCACGTGGTTTCATTTTTGTAGACGATTAAAGCGAACAACCTTTGTATTTTTTTGCAAAATAGAAAAAAACGAGTTTTATGCAGTAATCAAACATTTGCATATGAAAGATTTAACGCCAAAAGAAATCAAAGCCGAATTGGATAATGTTTATAACACATCTGCACCAGCGTTTGTGACTGTATACAATTGGGTGAATGAATTTAAACGTGGTTGTACATCCACATGTGATGCACTTCGTTCGGGACGTTCAATTGAGGCTGCTACGCCAGAAATCATCGATAAAGTCCACGATATTGTTTTGACTGATCGACAAGTGAAAGTGCGCGAGCTTGTTGAGGCCATAGGCATGTTACATGGCATGGTGATTTCAATTTTGCACAAACAATTGAGTATGAAAAGCTGTCGGGAAGATGCAGGGTGCCGCGTTTGCTCACTGTGGACCATAAGCGTGACCCCGGCACCGATGGCCAAATTCAACAAATTCCGCTATGAATTGCTTCCCCAGAATATTCGCCAGATTTAGCTCCCTGCGACTATTTCCTGTTTTCAAACATGAAGTAATGGTTCGGAGGAAAGAGATTCACCACCAGAGAGCAGCTCATCGCCAAAATAGAGGCTTATTTTGAAGGGTGGACAAATCATATTGTTCGGCCGGCTTGAAAAAGCTGGAGAATCGTTGAATCAAGTGTATCGAACTAAAAGGAGACTATGTTGATAAATAAAAATAAATCGATCAAAAATAATATAATTAAAAGATAATGACTCTTTAATTAACAAATATTAAACAGATGACAAAGGCAGTTAAGAGTCCCACGCAGTTCTTGGTGCGTATATATTCTTGATTTATTCCAATATTCCTTACATTA